ATTGGTCGGGGTCCAAAGCAGACAATATCGTAGGTCGGGGTCCAAAGCAGACAATATCGTGCTACGGTGGAGTCGAGCCTGAGATGTGACAACCAACCCAGTAAAAATTTATTTAGTTCTCTCTATCAAAAACTACAAACCACAACCCCCTGTCGCTGAAAAATAGTGAATTTGGTGTCGATTCGAAAAAAAAATTGAAGCCAGAAAAGGTAGTGTTTCCTGGTGCCGATTTGGGGTGAGTAATTCTCTACTTTGAATATTATGTGTTTAGAAGTGTGAATTTGGATTTATAAATGGGTTTTCAGTATTTGAATTTATAAATGGGTTTTCAGTTCTAATTTTATTATTGTGATTTTGGGGGTTTGTTTGTAGCCTTGGAACCCACTTCGTAGTGAAGTCTACGGTTTCTCCATGAGTTTTTTTTACTTCGTTGGTATGGCTGTTTTAAATTTGTTTTGGTTGTTTTCGATGTTTAGATGGCTTTTGTATATGAATTTTGGATGGTTTTTGTATATCAATTTTGCTTTTATAATTTTAGGTATTTTGTTTGTATCATTAGATTTTAGTTTTTTGGTAAAATATTTAATTACATAATCTTATGGTTTTCATGAGGGATTCAATTGGTTTTGGCAATTTTGAATTCGACAGACATAGGGAGCATACACTGAGACCAAGTGGTGGGAAGGCAGAGCAAAGGAAGATAAAATATGAGAGACACAAGTTGGGCTATTTTGCCCTAAATTTTTTTTATGGATTGATTTGGGATGAAGGGAAAGATGTGAGAGACATGGGTTGGCCTGTTTTGGCCTATTTTTTTTTTTAACTGGTTTGGGATTTTGTTTAGGTTTGGGGTTCTTTTGTTCTAATATTTTTTTTTGAATTCATTTGGAATTTTGTTTGCCTTTGGATTTGTGATGTTTCTGTATTTAATTTGGTATTTGGTAGTTTCCATTACATTTGTCGTCAGTTTTCTTAAAGGATAAATTCAAATGATAATGTCCTTTCTAACATGTGTAAATGTTGACACTTGCAGAATTTCAGTTTATAAACAATAAGATAATCCAAGGCTTCAAACCGCTTTGTTGTTAAGGTAAATGATTTTGGATTTTGGCTTTGAGCCTTTTGTGATTAAGAAAGTTTAATCATTTACTTATTCACTTATTAATTGGTGAGGGAATGAAACATTTGACTGCTAGGTACTAATAAGAAGCTACCAACACTTTTTTTTGAGAGAGAGTAGTATATCCGAACAAATTGAAAATCTAATGGGAAGAAGCCAACAGAACAGTTTTCGTTTCTATTTCTTTGCTTTCATAAATTTTGTATAGGTTTTTTTGTACATTTTGGTACATGGTGTTTTCAGTTAAGTTTTTGCAGTACACAAATTTGGGGTTTTTATTCAATGACACAGAGGAATGGGAGAATAAAGGGGGGACGAGAGTTATAGCCCTGAATAGAAATGCTACATTCGTATTTATGTAAATGGTTACAGGGTTGAAAAAACAGTTCAATGTTGTTGTCAGTGTGTTGATAATTTTGTCAAGCTTTAAAAAACAGAGGAAAAAATTAAATTAAATTTAAGTGCGTAAAGCAAACAAAATTTGAACAAAAAATGCAGAGTATGCTTTGTAAAAATGCTTTAACCTTTCTTAGAGTTGTGCTTTTTTAAATTATGCATTGCTTTGAATGAAAAAAAAAATATTGAGCTTCACTATTTTGTATATTTAATTTCTAACTTCATTTTCTGCTACAGATTATTGTCAAAGCAGTTTATAAAAGCTACGAAGTACTGTTGTTGAAAGAGAATTAAAAAAAACAAGGGTGAGTTAGACTGTTAAATAGTGTGAAATTTTTAATTTACAAATCTTTGTTAATCGTATTAATAATTTTTTTTGCACATATGTGCTGGTATTTGTGTCATCGTTTAAAATTTTCTCGCAGATAAAGTCTCATTGCATGTTACAGCTATATTTGCATTTATGTGTTTTATGGTGTGATTTCTTTTTATGAAACGATACAAATTACTTAGATTATATCATTGTATGTTCCATTAGGTTACCTACTTGAAACTTTTTTTGTTTTTGTGTTTATGGGCTTTAATCACCTTTTGTAATTCTTTATGTATCGGTTGGTTTATAAATTATTCTAATTAGGTACAAAATTAATTGAGTTTATGTAATTATAATTCTGCAATATTGTCAAGCAAACTTCTTATGTGATTGTATCAATTTTTGAATTGAATGGAGATCAGAAATTAGAAACAAAGATGAAGGCATATTTGATGATGGTTAACAATTTTGTTATTTCATAGTTTAATAATTTTGCTTCTGAATAATATTTAGATTGATTTTTTGCAGGGTTTAAGAAACTGGTGTTTTTTTATTTTAAGTTGGTTGTATTTGTGTTGCAAGGCTCTGTACACTAAGGTAAGCAGTTTATGTAACATCTCACATTGATCAACGGAGAAAGGGTGATGTGCCTTATATGTACATGCCCACCTCTTCCTGGCACAAGGCCTTTGGGGAGCTTACTGACTTCGGGTTCCATCGGAACTCCGAAGTTAAGCGAGTTCGTGCGAGAGCAATCCCAAGATGGGTGACCTACTGGGAAGTTCTTGTGTGAGTTCCCAGAAACAAAACCGTCAGGGCGTGGTCGGGGTCCAAAGCGGACAATATCGTGCTACAACGGAGTCGAAACTAGAATGTGGTGGAGCCCGGGTCGGGATGTGACAATTTGGTATCAAAGCCACTATGTCATGTGGTGCGAGTGTGACGACGAGGATGTCGGGCTCCTAAGGGGGGTGGATTGTAACATCATTCCACATCGACCAACTGAGAGGGGGTGGTGTACCTTATATGTACCCACATCTTCCTAGTACGAGGCTTTTTGGGAGCACACTAGCTTCGGGTTCCATCGGAATTCCGAAGTTAAGCGATTTCGTGCGAGAGCAATCTCAGGATGGGTGATCCGCAGGGAAGTTCTCGTGTGAGTTCCCAGAAACAAAACCGTGAGGGCGTGGTCGGGGCCCAAAGCGGACAACATCGTGCTACGTTGGAGTCAAGGGCGGGATGTGACAATTTAAACTTTTGGAATTGTTAGTTTCAAATTTTTGATGCTTTGTTTATATTTAATGTTATGTATATTGATTTACCTGTTATGTTTTTATTGATTTTTTTTTTCCCAATCCTTTTTTGCAGTTGTTTATCGTTAAATTGGCTATAACAATTTGTTTTCAATATGTCTAAAAGATGTATAAACGCATCAACAAGCGATCCTGTAGAGCAGGAAAAACAATTACGACAATGAATATAATATCTTTATCGAACTTCACAATTTAAACATCAGTGTAGTAGTAGCAAACCAACTGTTTTGCAATGTCCTATCAAAGATGTTAATTATGATAAACCACAGCATATTACACCTATTGAAAAAATTGTTCACGACTCTGATGAAAAGGGAAAAAAGGTGGTTGACTTCTCAAATAATCTTGATAACACAACTGAAAAAATCTTTGATCGTGAGAATCGCAATCTTATAAGTAAGGGTCAAACATTTTTCCAAAAGAATAGAAGTGGTATGTTTTTTATTTTATGTAATTTTTTGTTTTGTTGATATATATCCTTTGCATTTGCTTAATCGTATGTTGTGCTTAAGTTTTATTTTCTTTCGTTTTTTGTGTGTCTTTTTATCCAGGAATTGTCGAAGATTATATGGACTTTGGGGATAAAAATTATAAATGCACTTTCTATGGTGCTTATTTTTGTTAAAAGAGTCTCTCAAACAAAGATCAAAGAAAAATGAACATATTTTACTCTTTGTTGTCAACAAGGAAAAATTGAATTGCCAACTCCAAAGCCAACACCACCTTTTTTAGAATCTTTGCTTGATCCAAATAATGGTTATAAAAGTTTATCATTAAGAGAAAATTTTACAAGTTGGTGATGGATAAATTCATGATAGGGATGATCTAAATGATTCAAATGATACAGACACATTTTTAATTCAAATACCTGAAGATTTAATAATTCGTTTTTCTGGAAATCTAATTGCTTCAATTTTTTTGTCACTTACCCTGATTTTGAAAATTCTTTTGACAATTTTGTATATTTGAGAGAAGGAGTTATTGTCACCCCTCAAAACACAATTGTAACAGATGTGAATAATTATATAATTAATTTGCTACTTGGAGAACAACATTCGTTTTTAAGTTATGATTCTTTGTGTTCTTCAAATGGAAATGTTGAAAATCTTTAAACAATGTATCCTACAGAGTTTTTAAATAAACTTGACTTCAATGGTTTGCCTGCACATAACCTCAATTTAAAAATAGGAATGCCAATTATGTTATTACGAAATTTGAATCGATCTTTTGGTTTGTGTAATGGAACTAGATTAGTTGTTACACAATTATTCAAAAGAATTATAGAAGCTAAAATACTTGCTGGAACCAATATTGGTCAAAAAAATTTCATACCAAAAATCTCTCTTGCAGCAATTGAAAATAAATGGCCTTTTATTTTTAAAAGATGTCAATTTCCAGTGAAACCATGTTATGCAATGACAATTAATAAAAGCCGAAGACAATCTATGAAGCAAGTTGGGTTATATCTTCCTGAACTAGTTTTTACTCATGGTCAATTGTATGTTGCGTTATCTAGAATCACACCTGGAGAAGGTCTAAAAATTTTGCTAGAAAACGGAGAAAATAATTTAAATAACTATACTATAAACATATTATTCAAAGTGCTACAAAATTTAAAATCAAGTGCTTAGCTTTATCAATGCATTATGCATTTATGAAATACAAATGCAATTGTATACTTGTGCTTTTGTGAATTTTTACATTCATTACATACAAATGAAATTGTATATTTGTGCTTTTGTGAAATTTTCTTCGCATGTACATATAAATTTAAATTTTACAATCATCTGATTCTTTCATTATATTATTTTGTGCAAAATATTTCACAACTCATCATTCTATAAAATTGTCTAGTTTGTTGTTGTCAAACATTGCGATTAATTTCAATTAGTATGATCACTTCTTTTACAAAATCTTAATTTTATTTTATCTGTCAATGCTTATACCTTATTGACAAATACATATATAAAATTATATATATATAATTTGGGTAATACTGGTAACAGTATTGACTACATTTTTAATTCTATTACACAGTGAGCAGCATGCTACTCCCTTTTTCCTTTTTTTTTTCGGTTTTTCCGTGGCTGGTTGAGAGCATCAATTTGGCTGCTCCTCATTGCATCACTTAAAGCTATCGAGGGGAGGATTCAGAAGCGACGAGCTCTGAATACATGGCCGATATTGCTTTTGCATAGTACTCCTTTGCTTGAGGTCTTGATCTGAAGAGGTCAAGTATGCAATGAGAGAATGTGAGTCACGTTAATTCGTCCATCCATTTGCTATCAATTGTTTGAAACTGAATACTTGCCTTAAATGTCGGAGTGAGCAATCCATTCTCCAATGTGAACGGTTCAAGCACCAGTGTCACGGCTTTTACAAATTCGAAACCTCTCAACTGGAGAAATATTATCGAATTATTTATGAAAACATCCAACATTTATTTTGAACAGCGTGCAAGAAACAGATAGCATTTGGGTAATTTTATTAAATAACTTGCCTGAGCTTCCCTGCCAGCAGCATCCATATCGGCCAATACAGCTGCTCTTGCTCTTGGGTCATTGCATAGTTTCCCTACATCTTCAAACTGCACCCAAACATCACCAGAGAAGTTATTCAGAAGTTAAACTGTTTCCAATTGTTCTGACTTTTTGAGAAGTAACTGAATGAAGATTATCAATTAGTTGTAGGAAATATTGAAAGGCCAAACACTTATTTATGTGCACGAGCAAAAAGGTCAACCAAACGTTACTAGCTCCTCAAGCATGATACTTATCATCTTCATTTTGTTGTACAACTGAATTGTGATACTTTCACCTTAATGCCTTCAGAATCAGCCCATGCTTTCAATGCATCCGGGTCGACTGCGACAATCGCTACCAAAGAAGAATTAAAGCTGTCGCCTACGAATAGAAGCAAATAAGCAGTCAGCAACCCATCATATGAGAGAGAGAGAGAGAGAGACTTAGCAGATTCTAAATTCATACCATAAACAAAGCACTGGGCAATAAACTTGCACTTGGCATAGACATTCTCGACTTTCTCTGGAGCTATATACTCTCCCTGTGCCAACTTGAAAATGTTCTTCTTCCTACAAGGGTATACAAAACCTCCAGTTATAAGCTGTCCGCATGCTAAAAGAGGACCAATATGCTCTAAGCACAATAAATCCTGTCATTTCATTTCAATAGATTCTCTCCATACGTGGTGTCGGTCAAATTAACTTTCTCAAGAAAAATAGGCAGGATTTGGGGGCGGGGGATGGGGAAAGTAGAACCATCACAGTTCGTTTAACCCTTAGCATCCAACATGTAGGCATTTTAATTGCAAATGCTCAGTGAACATCATTCGTAGACCATGCATTATAAACCCATGCTAGGGCATGTCTGATTCTAATTGTCCAAAGTATGCTGTGCGTCTTTTGCTTTATATGATTGTCAGCAATTGCCTGGGAAATCTTATGAGCCCTAGCATATATATTACTTCACACTATTACCAATTTGAATTTGACAAGGTTACCATATGCGTAGCACAGTTTCAAAATATAAAGCATGACACTGTCCTGATTTGAGCAAAATCGGTGTAAATATATTAGAAGCTATCATTTAGGATGGCATGCTCTCACCTATCAATAATTTTCAGACGACCTCCAGGTAACCACAACCCAATGTCTCCAGTATGAAGCCATCCATCTTCGTCGACCACTTCCCTCCTATCCAGTACAATTATATTATCAGACTAATTTAATATCTGACTGAATGAATAACATTTAAAACAAGTGAACAGGTAAGTTGAGTACGTCTGCACTTCATCTTTGTGATATCCTTGGAATATAATAGGACCCCTCACACAGATTTCACCACGAGGATATGGTTGATCATCAGATGTATAGTTCATTTCTGGAACATCAACAAGCTTTATTTCTGGAATCAAAAATATGAAAACAAATTTTTAAGGCATTATTAATCTGACACAGATTTCACCACGAATTCAAGCACCCTCTTCAGATGTATAGCTCATTTATTGCATGCATTCATATTGAATCAAACATGTGGATAGGAATGCATGCAATCGAAACTACATGTTCAACACACCATTAGGGGAAATATGATTATTAATGCATTATTAAAAGGTCAGATCAGGTCCGCTTTGCCAGATTAATGTTACAATAACCTGACCAAGCCAACTTAGGTTGGACTGCACTAGTTTGTTTTGTCAACAGCCTACATGCGAACATATAATGGAACCAATCATTCCAATAGTTCTGCACAACCAGCTTATCACATCTGAATAACTGTGACGAAAATTATACATCATTGAACTGGTTCAGGCATAATCCCTCCATCTGTGAAGATATATGCTATCGAGAAGTATGAGATCATGCGAGTGCTTAACAATCATTGGAGGAGAAGAAATTGACGCTTGAATAGCACAAGTTTCCACAATCACATTTTTGCCAGCTAACTTAAGTCCGACTCTCAGGACAGTAGAAGGGTCAAAGAATAAAAAGTTCAAATTTTTGGTCCGCATTATTCGAAAAGAACCTAAATGATGCCATTAATTAGGTGCGTTAAACTCAGAGTCAGTGGACAATAACTCACCACAAGCTGGATTAGGAGAGCCAACATGCCCACATACTTTGTCATCCCCATCCATAGCACTAATAACACAAGAAGTCTCAGTCATTCCATACCCTTCAGCCACTTCACCACTAAAGCATCTGGGAATAAATCATCATTAGTTTATAAGCCCCGTAAATGCAAAAGAATAAAAACTATGAAATAAAAACCAACCACATGTGATTCCTTTTGGCATTCGATATGCCTAGAAATGTAAAAGACTTACATCTTCAAAAACTGCATTACATCAGGTGACAAGGGTGAAGCACCTGATGTCATAAAACGAACTCGTCCTCCTAGCTTAGCCTTTATCTTATTGAATACCAATCTATCCCACATGGGGGATGGATTTTTTCCTATAACATGACATCGTGATACAATAAGAAATAGCGAAAAGTACACAATACAAGGAAATAATTGGCACCAAAACAGTTTAGACTCATCACTTGTCAGCTGTGGCTAACAGAATGTTCAAGGAAACCACGAGGCAGGGTCAAGAAAACATTTTTTGTCAATCTCATTTTCAAGCTGCTATATTTCTACATTTATAGAATATCACCTGATTCACTTGTAGTTTTGTTTCTAATTTTCCACAACTAGTTCCTTAAAGCTGCTACATTTCTACTTTAAGTAAAGAATATCACCTGATTCACTTGTAGTTTTGTTTCTATATTTCCACAATTCTAGTTTTCTATTATTTCAAAGTTAAACATGATATATTTTCTACTTGAACGTTGGCACCTAGATTTTACACCTTAAACCATTTCCATAAGATCATACATTTTATTACGTCTGCAAAAAGAAGTTTAACAGTTTAAGCATAAACAATTGTGTGAGACGTAGATTCTCATGTTATAGTGCAAAAAGAATTTAGTGGCAATATGCTTTACCACTTAATAGTGCCTGCTTCTTGGCATTGTAAGCAGCATTAAATAGTCTCTCCCTCAGTACACCGGATGTCTTGACCGCATTTGTAATACTGAACAACTAGAAGATCCGAGTTAATGACTGTTTAACTGTATTAGTTTCTTATTGGTGAACAATCACATAAGCAATTGAATTTTTTTTTTACCCCGCATATATTCTGTTATACAGCCTAGGAACACTGCTGAAGATGGTAGGTCTTAGAGCTGCCATATCGTCCATTAATTTTAAATTATCCTGCATAGGACAGTTAAATAAACGCTGTAAGGCTTGTCTCTAAAGATAAGTAATTAAACCAAAATAAAAAATACAAAAATATAAATAAACCAGCTAGCCTAACGACTCTAACATATAGCACATATTACAACGTGCTGGTCAGCGATTTGTCAATAGGTTCCAATAGGTTTAGATAGATGTTGATGTTTATAAATCAATATTACAATTGCATCAGATTCCTTTAGGAAATTCATCACTTCTAGTAAAGTCTTACATGCTTGAATCCAGTATAATTGAGAACAATTTAGTACGGCAACATGCATCTACCCTTCAGTAAAATGCAGACTAATTTTTAACAGGCAGATTGATTCTGGCACAGTTTTTATTGCATTTCAAGAAAACAGATATAGAAAAAGCCTTTACGAAGAAGTAAACCTCTATGACAAATGGAAAGGTTTTTGTTTTGGTGGGGAGACAATACCGCAGATTCAAGATATGATGGGAAACTATTAAAAAGGGAAATGTTTAAACAAGTTTCATACCCCTTGGTAGAATCCAACAGCAACTCCAAAGTATGCCGTCATGACCTGGTTAACCCGCTCATAAATGTGTGCCAAAGGAAGATATGATATGTAGCTGGAAAGTACAAGGTAATGTGTATGAAATAAAAAATCTGATAAAAAAAACACTACTGTTTTCTAAGAAGCACACAAAACTACAGATACTCACATGTCGGACGGGTAGAATTTGATAGCAATCGTGGTCCCAGCAACATTTGCAATCAAGTTTCCATGAGTCAATACAGCTCCCTGGCCAAATGTTATTGTTGGTTATAGTGCAATTCTTACAATATATGGGGTATAAATAAGATATGGAAAGTATTTAACATAGTCGTATTTGAGGAGGAGGCAGCCCTAGAATTCTTGTTTCTTCCACAATATCCAACAGTTATAAAAGGAGAACTCAGAACAATATATGAAAACATAGTAGCTAAACCATTTATTGCGGAACACACTTACTTCATCAGAAAGCTAAAAGTTGTAATATACATTTTTTATCGAAAAAAGCTAAAAGTTAATAGTTCTTTAAATTGTACCTTTGGAGTGCCTGTTGTACCACTTGTGTAGCATATTGTTGCAACATCCTCTGGTTTTGGAGGGAAAAAAGGCTGAAGACTACTAGAGCCCTGAAATAATACAATGGATAAGAAGCACATCAATCAAAGTTATATCATCAGTTACTAAGGAGTTTAACTATGATAAGAGTCATAATATCCAAGTGGCAACATGAGCAGATAAAAAACACCTAATGTTCATTAAGTGTGTGAACAGACTATGCATTAAAATATGTAAGAAGAAGACAATGTGTGGTTTAGGACACAGAAAATATCCAATATGCAGCTATGACGAAATGGCTATTTCAGGAGTGTTTATGCTACGGGTTTATGTCTGTGAGTTGATTTTAGCACTGCTCAACGCATTCTTTGTGCTAATGTTTACACAGAAAAACGCATATAATGCTTGGATGTATATCATTTATGCATCCATGAGAAGATCTTTGACAGATATCCTCAGACGTTTCAATGATTTGGTGGATTCATAGGGAATAAAGGAATTACCTGAGACAGCAATTTTGAATATGTTACAACCTTCACTCCAGCCGATGACGGAAGAGATGGCATTTGATCATCCATCCCCCCAACAACCTGAATAATATCGAGGGCAAATGAAGACATTATTTTAAAAGATATATAAACTGTGCAAAGTCAACATCACATTCAACTTTCACTAGTACAAAGATTAATTTAATACTATGAGTTGTATTCTCATACCACAATCAGGCGTACGGTTGGAATATCCGCCAAGAAGCTCAATAACTGCAGTTCCAAATGACAAGAATCAATTGAGAAATTCAGAGCCATGTAATATAACAATATGGAATCTAATCCGCAATTTTCCAATAATTATGCACTCATTTATGATTTATTACTAACAACATGAACAATTTCAGTCTACAAGTTATATAGATTGTATACACTGCAAGGAAAAATACGCCTTAAGATAAAATTGAAACAGTGAGAAATGACACTAAACCATACTTTGACAGTAATTTTGGCCAAACATGAGTTAAATGCCAAGGTGAAAGAAGTCGACACCACATAGTTCAGAAGAAACAGTTTCCAAGCTAGGTTTATATTGTGACTGTTAAGGATTTTCGCCTTTTGTTGAGCTTTTCCTGCTCTTGTTATCTATTCTTTTTCTTTTTTGGATACTTAAGATGATATCTAAATTAGTATCTGGTCTATATTCCATACAGCAATTCAACCTGATAAACACTTGCTCAAAACATTTTGTGATGGCATTTACACAAAGATGTATATACTATCATATGGACACTTCCAAAAATATAAAAACAAACATTTAGTTGTCATTTAATACCTAAATATATAAAACTGAGGAAGAAAGAAGGTAACAAGATAAAGTTTTTACAACTCATGAAAATATTGTGAAGTTATAGAGGGTGATAATAACTTAAACTCACACTATTCAATGTTTGAGGCACACAAAAGATAACTTGCATAACAGCATGATTTACAATGTACTTGACAGCATCTGGACCTGCAAAGAATATCATATTCAATTGTAACATCTGAACCATAGACCAAGATTGGAAAAATACAAGCAAAGTAGCACAAACCTAGAGTGTCATACAAAGGAACTGATATATACGAATACGCAGAGCAGGCATGATCAACAATGAGCCACTCAGGTCTGTTAATAAAATACAATCCAATTGAAGATCCCTGTAGTTAAAGACATAAAAGTTTAAAGAGGATTTGATGTAATGTAACATCAGGGAAATCCACTCAGTAGTTTCATGTTTCAAGGAACTAATTACAGAGATAAAGTTCAATGACCAATAAACGAAAGTATATTGGAACCATGGAATTATTAATGAAATTACACCTTTGGTATTCCATTATAAATTAGGCCAGAACCTATTCCTGACCGAGCAGTACCTGCTTCTCCGTATGTCATCCACTTGTAACTTGAAGGCAGAAAAACAAACGAAAATGGGTGAGGCTTCACTGGATGCATGAGCCCAAACAATTGTAATTCACAGGAACTGAGACGTTAATTATATAAAAAGACACTCACTCTCCAACTGTTCCATCAACGCGAATTCGTGTGCCCAAATATTTGTAATCTCGGAAAGTTTCAACTGAATGCCTAATATTGACAAAAGTTAGATGAAGTCATTTAGCAAATTCCAAGGGAACTAAATAACAGTGGTTAGACATACAAATATAGGGCAGATAATTGTAGGAAATTATTGAGCTTAAATGTACTTGTGTAATTTGGCAAAAAGTAGCTGACTCACACAAAATTATCATGCAGTGTACCAATTTCAGGATGATCGGGGAATCTACTAACAAGCTTCATTGGGGAGCGTGCAGATCTGTCACCACAACAACAAAACAAAAATATTGTTCTCACATGACATGAAAAGCCAAGGACCTTGTTGGGGCAGCACAAACGAAAAAAGGGAATATGCCCACCTGTATACATTCCACTTTCCTGTGTCTAATTTCTCTGGAAGCACCACACTGTACCCATGCTCTGTTAAGAATTTAATGATATTAATATATGTATTTGAGCCAATAAGTTAAACATCCTAGACACGTTTCCAGAACAAATTGCTAACCACCTTTACCAGCCTGTTCCCACTTATTCTATAGTCCACCACAAAACAAAGAAACCAAACCTTTCAAAGAATCAAATTTTCATTTCCAATCCCACTTGAAAGCCCTCGATACCCCTCAGAAATTTATCTTTTGAGCAACAAACTTATCCATTATCGCTTTCACAATATCCCTCAAAGCAAGATTTATGAAGTGACATATCCCATACATGCTAATGTAAACGGCCAAAGTTTTTCATTATGAAACACATAATGCAAAAGAACTAAACAAGAGAACTAAGATAAAAAAATAAAAAAAATAAAAAATAAAGCGAGAGATACAAAACAAAACATAAGGTAATCAATCGAAGAGAAAACAATGCTACCAATTGTAGAAAGGATTTGCCCTGTAAGTACTAAGTCAAACTCCTATTTTTCATATAGTCCAGCTTCTTTGTCATGGTAGTCCTCTTCATTTTACTGATCCAAGTTTTTATAAAGTTCGTATCCAAATCTTCAGTGCTCTTCATCAGCTAGATCAGTCCATTTTTCCCATTAGAGAGAGAACAAAGATCATTGTCAAATGCTTATATGTGCTTGGATGTGGGAGATAGAAAGTGAAGTTTCACAGAAATCAGACCAATGGAAGGACAAAATGATGAACTCCCAAGTATATTTTCCTAACTGTCATACAACGGTCTTTCAATATTTCCCATAAAGCACTGCCATACCTCCCTCGAATCAAAAGTCCACTCAAAATGGTCTCTTGGATCCCATGGACCAAAATCCCCACAAAAACAAAACATGACGACATCTGAACAAGTATTAATGTCTAACTGAAAAGGACAAAAGAAAAGCAAAAGTAACCTTCAAAGTCCAAAAATTATTAGCGAACAAAAAACATGAATTGCAATCCAGCAGCACACTTGCATTTGACATTTATGATTTGAAAGAGGGATTCTTGAGCATTTGAATTGCACCCCGTTTCAAAATGATCAATTTCACATGCAAATTTCGACAGAAAGGAAAAGAAACATAAGACCTTAAGAGCACAAAAACTAGTACTTTTAAAAACAAAGAAACCCATTAACAAAAAAGAATTCAAATCCAAATCTCTTATAAATCGAGACGCAACATTAACTGTCTAACGGGTTTCTAAATCAATGAATTGGAACTGCTGAAATCATACAAAGAATCACCCTTTACTGAAAAAACAATTCGAAACTGTATGATCCTCAACTGAAGTCGAAACTGTATCCAGCTCTTGGAAGCTCAAAAGTCCCCCAAAATCAAGACACCACAAAATCTAGGGGCATTAATGCCACCTTAAATTATTCCATAGCTTTTTCCTTTGCAATAACTTCCTTCACAACAAAGCTTCGAGCTTCGCGTGCATACTACGCGATCAAAATTCAAAACCAAAATTGAGCTGGAAAAATAATAAGCCCAGAGAGAGGGCGCACCGGAAAAGAACTCGCCGGCGGTGGTGGGATTGGGCCGGAGAGGGGACTCGGAGTCGACGCCGGTGGCGAGGTGGCGGTTGATTGCTTTAAGGCGACGCTGAGCTGCCGCTGAATCCATCGGAAGGAGCGTTGGGACGTTCGTCTTAGCTTCCAATGAGCAGATCAGAGCAGAAGAAAGTGGATTGGCGTCGTGAGCCATTAAATCTTTTAGCTGCTTCTTGTGTTTTTATCCAGTGAGGTCAGCTTTTCGTGAGCACTTAACTTTCTATTTGTTTCTCGAGAACATTACCCCGGCCTTCGAAACAACAAGGGCACGGCTCCCAACGATCGCGATCAGGAAGAGATCGAGGTGTGCGAGTGACAATGACATGAGTACGGACAGAAATTAGAAATAATGCAAAGAAAATGATTAATAATAAAAGGCAGTTGTTATTCGCATTTTAAAATTTTCATTTTACACTCCTTAGAAGTGTAATTTTCTTTCTAATTATAGAAAATTTATATTATAAAATGAGATTTATGAAATGCTAATAGCAATTCCCATAATAAATATGTAGTAATAATATTAAACCTAGCAATTTCATACCTGACACGTAAACGACACAAAAATTACTAGTTTCAGATCGACCGATAACTAATCGAATAGTTATCAAGTCACGTGATAATAACCCGTTAATAACGAGTCCTTAACAAGTTTACACGAGAATGACATGCGAGTAACCTATTTCAACATGTTAAGAAAAATATTATTTTGATGATTTTAATTTTTTTAAACTACTTAATAAAATTACTATAAAATACAATAGCCATATAGTATATTATAATATGTATTATCATATTATTATTCTTTATAAATTTAAAAAATTTAAGTTTTATTTATTTTTATAGTGTACTATATATGGGCAAGCAGTGAGATTAAAAAAATTATAAAACACGTTAAAAAAATTATCAAGTAATTTAAAAATACCAAACACATTAAAAAAATATAATAATTAACTTACAAGTGTAAAAAAATGTGAAAAAATATGCAAGTGCTCGTGATTACATTTTGTACGCTTTGAGGATGGGTACATCTTCGTTTGAATTTTTAGAAGGCTAAATAGCCAAAACGGTCCCTGAGATTTGCATAACTCATCACTTTGGTCCCTAACATTTCAAATTGATAAAATGGTCCTTGAGATTGTCCATCATCCATCATTTTAGTCATTCTGTTAAAAACTCTAGAGCTCTTAGCCTGAAGTTTAGACAATTTTCAAAGCTTCTTAACTCAATCGTTTTTTAACCAAATTCGACCCATAATATATCAAAATGAAGATAGGAAAGTGTAGAATAAGATTATACTTATTTAGAAGTCCAATGGTTCCCGGAGATAGCTGAAAAATAGTCTCAAAGTTGAATGCTCCGAATGAAAACTGGAAAACTCGCCGGAAACTAAGTAAACTTTAAACGTTCATAACTTCTTCAATACTCAACTAAATCAAGTGATTCAAAAATGAAAATCATACTTCTCAACGAGATAAAGAGAATGGTACCTTTTTTAGATGGCTAACTCACCGTGGTTTGGCCGGAAAATTGCTCGAAAGTGACCGTCTTAGTCTCAAGTTAGCCATTTTCCAGCCATTTTCCAGCCAAACCATGAAAATTTAGCCATATAGTATATTAAACTACTTAAAAAATATTATTTTGATGATTTTAATTTTTTTAAACTACTTAAAAAAATTACTATAAAATACAATAGCCATATAGTATATTAAAATATGTATTATCATATTATTATTCTTTATAAATTTAAAAATTTTAAGTTTTATTTATTTTTATAGTGTACTATATATAGGCAAGTAGTGAGATTAAAAAAAATTATAAAACACGTTAAAAAAATTATCAAGTAATTTAAAAATACCAAACACATTAAAAAATATAATAATTAACTTACAAGTGTAAAAAAATGTGAAAAAATATGCAAGTGCTCGTGATTACATTTTGTACGCTTTGAGGATGGGTACATCTTCGTTTGAATTTTTAGAAGGCTAAATAGCCAAAACGGTCCCTGAGATTTGCATAACTCATCACTTTGGTCCCTAACATTTCAAATCGATATAAATGGTCCTTGAGATTGTCTATCATCCATTATTTTAGTCATTCCGTTAAAAACTCTGGAGCTCTTAGCCTGAAGTTTAGACAATTTTCAAAGCTTCGTAACTCAATCGTTTCTTAACCAAATTCGACCCATAATATATCAAAATGAAGATAGGAAAGTTTAGAATAAGATTATACCTATTTAGAAACCCAATGGCTGACAGAGATAGCCAAAAAATAGTCTCAAAGTTGAATGCTCCGAAGGAAAACTGGAAAACTCGCCGGAAACTAAGTAAACTTTAAATATTCAGAACTTCTTCAATACTCAACGAAATCAAGTGATTCAAAAATAAAAATCATACTTCTCGACAAGATAAAGAGAATGATACTTCTCGACAAAAATAAAACTCGTCGAGAAGTATGATTTTTGTTTTTGAATCACTTGATTTCGTTGAGTATTGAAGAAGTTACGAACATTTAAAGTTTACCCAGTTTCCGGCGAGTTTTCCAGTTTTCCCTTCGACTAGTCAACTTTGAAGCTATTTTCTGACCATCTCCAGCATCCATTGTGCTTCTAAATTGTATAATCTTATTCTAAACTTTTCTATCTTCATTTTGATATATTATAAGTCGAATTTGGTTAAGAAACGATTGAGTTACGAAACTTTAAAAATTGCCTAAACTTTCGGCCAAGAGCTCCGGGACACTTAATAGAGTTTTTAACGGAATTACTAAAATGATGGATGATGGACAATCTCAGATACCACTTTTATCGATTTGAAATGTTAAGGACCAAAGTGATGAGTTATGCAAATCTCAGAGACTATTTTGACTATTTAACCTTTTTAGAACCATACAAACCCTCATGAATAGTCTTTTTAAGAGAGTTCAAAATAAACCAATATCATTTCTCTTTCTGATTGATGAAATTTGAAGGGTTTTACTTTTAAAAAAAAGTACAAGGTTTCCTCAACTTTAAAACGCAATTCCTTTCATTTTGCATATCCTTGAACATTTGTATTTTGTAGTAATGTACCAATGTTTTTTTATTAGACTCTTATTTTGGGGTATGTAATACTTAAAAGATAAATGTTGTTTTTAACTTTTGAAGTAATATTTATGTGACAATGTCTTATACATATACAAATTTAGTATTATGTTTTTCAAATTTTTTGGGTCAAATTATATTTTTCATTTTCATTATTTATTGATTTAAAATATATTTTCTTTAACAGGTAAGCGGTCGGGTCATATTACCTGATAATATTAACGGAGTCGATTTCGGGTCGGGTCATATTACCCTTTGACTTTAACGGATGTTACATGACACAACCCGTTACGATATCGAGTATGTCACAAAAATGACACAAACACGAAAAACACGACACGAATGCCAAGTCTAAATAATATGTTGAATTTTGTGTTGAAAAAATACGAATTTTGAAATGTCTTTTTATTTTGCGCCGGCCGTCGGCCGTTCTGATTTTTTATGCCTTCTACGTTGCCGGATGGCTTCATGATAGCGGTCATATGTTGGGACCCCACAAATTTAAAGTTGGATTCCTTCTGAATTTTAGTATGCTTCAACCATACTATATGAATTCTTTTGTAGCATGTATTTTAAAAGAGAGACGATACAAAATGATATAGTACGCATCAGTGTTTAGTGTGCGCTGATATTTTTGGCAGCTAAATTCTTCGTGGCACGTTTTGAGTTTTATTCATTCGGTACATGTCAAACGATGGAGCATAATAAATGAAAAGAATATGGAGAGTGCTTGAAAGCAAGATCCTAGCATCCCCTAACCTACCAACATTCACGTTTTCACCACATGTAGTCGGTGGGTAATTCTTGTCATGCTTGGAAATATTCTCGTGTCCACGGACTGAATTTGTGACAAGAGAGCATCTCTCCATTCACCATTGTGCGAGGCCGATGGATTAGGAGGCCCAAACCGTTATATCATTACGTTGTCTAAAATCTCCTTCAACAATAGACAAAGATAAAATACGAACATAGAGCACAGGATATAAGAAAAACGTTGTAGCCATTTTGTCATTAATATGTACGTTACCACTCCGAAATGCGTACTCCTAGTTAAGTTACAAAACATTCAAAACTAATATTAAAGCCTTCAAGAGGTTCAAGAGGATAGCAGTCGCGAGACACGATAAGTATCATATCTTGGCGCTTCTCCTCGTCTCCTCACACCATACCTCTGTAAAAGTCGTGTATGTTTTCCCCGATCCGAATTTTATACACAGAAACTAGCGTAGCAACATGCTCCATCCATCTAGAAGAGTTCCATCAACTGCTGAGCAACGGCTGCATCAACAATTAACACAAATTAAAACTAGATATACGCAATTGAAAATGCAGCTCGCTAGGCCTCGGCTGCGATGACAAAAGCATGTATGCGTACCTTGAAGAATATCTGGTGTAGCTTGGAATTCCTGCCATATATTTTTATAAGAATCAAGATCCAAATTTAGAAACTTTGCGGCAAGGTAGGCAGCTCCTGCCGCAATATGATGCGGTTTGAACTGGAGCCACAGAGAACTCCGAAGCCTGAAAAATAAAATGAAAAAACAAAATCAGTTCCTGAAAGTATGAGACCGAGCCACCACCATGGGATAGGAGAGGCAGAAAGGCACATCATCAAACCAAACCATCTGGGGCAACAGTAGAAAGACCAGGCAATTCTCAGTGCAATGTAGCATATTTTTCATCACATTGATAGAACGTACGTCAGCAACATATAGCATAAAAAATTGGTAGCAAAACATCAAATCAGGCATGAAATAACAAGTCAATTTCTTACCAACTACAAAAGCAGCAAGTCAGGTAGAATATTTTCCACAATCTCTGCAGGATGGCTGATAAGAGTACCAAAACTATAGCAAATATGATACACCCCATCTAGAGACACCAAAATTCCCAGGCCCCAATCTGCTGCACGGCTATTTTACTCGAATACATGATTCATATTAGAAAGCAAAAGCAGGACATTGCAAACAATTAAACTTCTGAAAGCAAATCCACAATCTTCTGATCAATGGCTGGATCTGGACAGACTTGCCAACACATGCATTGATGCTCATTGAGCATGCACAATAACCCAACTACTAAGTTCCCGACGAGAATCATCGACCACACCCATGTTGCAGGCATGATATGAAGCTGAATTGCCATCTATAGTCTGTTCCAGATAGTATACATATGTACATCTGAGTTATAACGTATACTTTTCTCATATCATCAACTACTGAAGCAAAACTTTGGTGAGACCTTGGAATACAAAAAATGGTGAATGCCCCCTACAACAACTCGGGATTCTAACAATGGTAGGAATTTTCAAGCAACTACAGGGATGGATGCCATCAATTCTTCTGGGGTACTTTATAGAGAAAAAGATGTTTCCTCCAGAGTCTAGTCTCACTGTGATTTTACCTTTTTAATCACCTAGCAGGAAGTTATATCAACATTAAGGTTTCAGAATAAATAAATAATGAGACGGAGAACAGAAAAGCACGTTCAAAACATAAGTACATGTATCTTAAGTTATTAGGACTCCTCTACTCTTTTCAAAAGATTTCCGGGTTGTAGTTAGCAACATAATCTTACAACACTTGTACCATGATTTGGGTAGCCTTTCCCCCACACCAAAAACATCCCTGGATGTAACCAAGAGAGATATAAAAAGTCTATGCCAATATCTTCTTCACTAATATATGATTTTTTTTCAATTAGCTGGTGAGGCAATATTCCGCTGTGTACTTCTGTGTAAAACAAAGTCGTCTAACAGAAGGACCAGGAGTCCATAGTGCCAGTAATAAAAATAATAAATTATTCATCACAAATAACAACAATAGTGGCATTAAGATCAAACTGATCTTTACAAATAAATGAAGATACGGTTACAATATATAAAACATATTTCACAAAAATAACAAATTTTGACAAAGAATATTCAAGAAAACCTTTTTTTCCTTTTTTTTCCAGAACAAATAACTAACAAAATCCATCGCTTGAACAAACGTTCAAACAAAGTTTAAAATTGAGAAAACTCAAAGAAGATAAAATACATTTTTAAAGCAAAAATAGCGCACACTAACTGTGAAGTGGCCTCAAATTTATTAAAAACTGTAAAAACAATTACACGGGAGTTGGGACTAGAAAATTGACATTATCTGATACCAAGTATATGGAAGCAAATAGTTCTGAGTCAAGGTTTTGACCCAGATAAATATCTGGGCAGGTTCCAGATCCAGACAAATCATTACCTGAGAAATATATGTTAAACCAAAAAGATTATGATACGAAAATCATGTAAAATGATATGGCATTCAAATGACTTTCAAAATTTTGTTATATTTCCTGAGCTCCTATTCCCAATCTTGGAAAATAAGTTGCATCTCAATGCCAATTAATGAGGAAAACTGTCAGTGCTAATTTCCCTCATTTTCATTTCACACGTGTTGCATTAAATCTCTCCTTTTATTCTTTAGGGAGACGGGGTAGATGAATGGCAGGTACTATACAAAATGCTAATGTCGCCCATTCCATTCTGTAATGGAAAAACGGATACAACATCGAAAACTTTCAAGACATCTACGTCAGGCAAATACCTACACAAGTTCCTGAGACTCATGCATCAGTGACCACAGTTCTATGACAATTTGCAACTTTTTGGGCCAGGGTCTAAACTTCCATCAGAAAGAGTTTGGTAGAAACTGAAATCAGACTGCAAGCCCTGATACTCAAAACTGATATATCATACTTTTAAACCTAAAGCAACCCCTAGATATCAGGTCAACCCCTCGTTATCAGGAACTAGAAAAAGTCATTGGAGGATTCATATGGGGACGGGAAGGACTACCAATCACAATATGAAAATCCTAGCCTAGTCAATGGTTTTCCTCCAAAACCAAGCACACAAAAAGCCTGTCTTACAAACTGTATTTTTGCAAGCAAGACAGGACTCTTTCTTAATAAATTCCACCAGTAAGTTGAAGATGTGAAAATGGCTATGGAGGCTAATTGGCTATATTCAATAGCCAATGACCAAGATGATGGAGGAATATTATGGTAAATTCATCCACAAAATATCGGCAGTTCAACTTCAGAAGTAAAACAAAAGTTCCATGAACAGCAAATCAATCCGCCAGCTAAGAATATCATACAGGCGATCAACTCTAATCTTGTGTAGATCCTGCAATTATATGCATGCCAAAAGAATTAATATTTCAAAATACTACTAGAGTAGATGCTGTAAACAAGAAAATTACAAAGACAGGCATCAAGCATCAGAGTTTTGGAGAACAGGAAGAAAACCAGTGTTTATCCTCTGCCGCAGCCATAGCCACGCCCAAACATCAACAAAATCTGAAATTCTGATGATACCCCCCCCCCCTCCCCTCCCTTTAACAACCACAGTGAATCTTAATAATAACACAATTTTCAGGAAGGCATGCAAGGTAAACTGAGTAGAAAAAAGCAAGACAAACATGTCAATAATGATCAAGTACAAACATTCAGTGAAATGTAGGCAAAATGCTGAACCCTCTGATTGATGAGCTTACCCTTCACTGACCAAGCTTAAGGACAGATTCACCAGAACAGTTTGTGAGAGACCTAATTTGTTAAGAATAGACGTAAGCGGTGCATATGGATGCTGCACACCAAGTTCAAAATTTAGAGTGGTCAGTATCATTTGCTCAGCCTCAGTCACCCGTTCCCGATACTGCTCAAACCAGTCCTGTTTAACAACCAACAGATGTCAGAATGCTAGAAAGTGTCCAGTGAATGGAAAAATCTTAAAAAGTTTGTTTCATGCTCTACATGATGTACTGAATAGCATGAAATAGGAAATAATATCGGATGCAGGAAAAGTCATCTGAATTTAAAAAAAAAAAAAGAAAAGCCAAGCAATGGTTTTTTTCATGTAAACGAAAAGAAAAACGTTATGGCATTTGATTATGTAATAATGTTTATATTGACAGATCAACTGTATGAAGATTGTTTTAATTCTGAATGTTTTCAAGAGAACAGATCATATCATAGAGGGTCAGAAGAACAGTAAAGACACTCACAATGGGGAGCATATAGGACAAGAAACTGATATCCTGCTTATGGGAAATCTCAGAAGACATTCTCAACACAGTATTCAAAGGGCGTGGTGTCTCCTCGGACTTTGCAGCTAGGAAAAGAGCGGCAGTAGCAATCAACTGGAAAAGAAACGAAATAGTCATAAATATTATTACCAGATGGAGTGACACAGTAAACCAACAACACACATAATACATAAAGCTGTAGGAAATTTAAAACAGCACGTTATAGAGAAAAGAAACATAGGTTAATGAGTTATATTAAGAAAACATAAAAATAAAAGGGAAAAGACTTTGAACACAACAAATGATTGATTACCTTAAATGCTAAAATACTGATCATATGAGAAATATAATTTATGGTATCTAAGATAAAGGACACCTTAATAACATCAAAAGATGCTATGAATTTAAAAATAAGTACAATACTCACAAATCTATCATGGCAAGCGTGTGATCGCCGGGAAAAAAACCGATGGCAGAGAACCATTGCTGTAGCGATAGTAGTCTGGGGCCTGGAAGAGACATGATTCAGTTCATAAATGACATAATTCTTAAAAAAAGAGAAGAGAACATTGAAACTGAAAGTCAACTAGCAAAGTGTTAAAAATACCATAACAACTAGTTCTGGACAAAACCAGTTCAACAATGCAAGGAAACAAATGTAAAATGAAAACATAACAAAGATACACCTAGAAAAGAAAGAAGCTTACAAGTCAAGCCGCAATCCAAGATTCTGAAGGTAAGAACAATATGAGTAGCGCAAGTGTGCTTCACGTACTGAATCTATACCATCTTTTCTAGACGGGGAGCATCTCTCTATCTCATCCCTTGACATAAAGGGCAGTTCATCCTCATCTAATTTTGAGCGGTCACGTTTACCAGTAGTAGATGCAGAGGCATCACCATTGGATCTTGCATAAGGAAGATAATTATTGCAGGTAGACGAGACAAACTCATATGTGTTGGGTGATCTTGCATAAGGAAGATAATTATTGCAGGTAGACGAGACAAACTCATATGTGTTGGGTGGCAGATAATGTCTCCCACCATCACCCCAAGTAGAATCTGAAAATTTTCTCCTCTTAAACGATGGTGCACTGTCAGGCTTGAAATAATTAGAATTATCAGCATGCTCCTTATAACCACCCACGTAATTCTGGAAATTGGGGAAATTGTTATAATTCTTAGCAAAGCTACTGGTCCGGCTCCTGTTCCAGTTGTTGTTGTTCCTGTGGTTGAAGTTGTGGAAGTTTTTGAAGTCATTTCTACCAAGGGTGGGCCAATACTCTTCACCAGTGGTGCCCCCTTGTGAGCGATAGTTACGTGCAAAAGACATTACTCCTGCCAAGTTAAAAACAACAAATAAAAAAGTGAACAAACCAACAGAGAAAAGTCCTGAGAAACTGCAAAACTAAATTTAACAAAAACCAAACAACGCATGGAAGATTACGAAAAATATACACTGGTTAAACATTTCTTTAACAAAATCACAAGGAAAAGTATGTTATCGTAATGCATTTTCGATGGTTCTACTCGATCTAAATTCATATAATCAACAACTCAAAAACATAAGAACCTCTAAATTATCACAAGAACCAACCTGCTTCTAAATTCAACCAATTTCAAATTTTGAAACCTCAATTAAATCTCTGACATCCAGCAAACAGAATTTACGATTCGCCTACTTCCAAATTATCTTTCACACATGCATGTAACCATGGATACGTGAAATAAATACCAAAATTGAATAACCTATAAATTTCAGATCCTCCTATGGCTCTGCCCTTAAAATTAAACAAATTCAATTTAAAAAAAAACCGATAAATGAAAGCAGATCATTGCAGAAAGTAAAGTAATTTGAACCTAAAACCGAATAATTGACCAACTATAGTCTATGGATGTCCGATTGCACAGAAATTGGCAGATTGAAACGATGAAAACCTTACAACTACAAAACGGCGACGTCAAGAACAATCTCAATCGAGAAATATAAGAGCGATTACCTGATCGGCAGCGATGGCGATCTGATCACACGGTTGGATGCGATCGTACGCGAGGTGATTAGGGTTTGGGAGGAAGAAAGCGTAAGGAGGATGCCAAGTTTAACCCCAAACCGAAAGCAAGGAGCATTTTATATTTTGTAATTTGGTGAGGTAATGCAAGGTCAGCAACAAACAATCCAATCCATGCTGTAACCCGCTTAGGAAACTTGTATCTCTCTAGATTTAATTTTTTTTTTTAACTACAAACAATATTATTTATACTAATTGGTTAGCAATAATGTGGTTCAAATTCGTCTTTGACGAGAACTGAACTTAAGACATTTCCCTTACAAGTGAAGAGGAATATCACTAGATCGTAATACTAAGTGATCAGATTTAATTTTAAGGAAAAGTAACGAAAAGTCCACAAAACCTTTAGTTTTAATGAAAAATGATAAATAAATGTGTAGTGAACAGTACCAAGAAAAGGTAAAGAAGTGGTTTTTCGTTAAAAGTGAACAATATCAAGAGTGTTTCTTTAAAACTCCCTTAATTTTAATTTCATTTTATTACCATTTTTTTAACAACTTTCATCTTATACCAACCTTTAAGAAACAACAATATTCATTGAAAAAAATTAAACCGGACATTAAAAATGTGCATAAGACATGAATTTTAATATGTAATTATAAAAACAATATTTTTAATATGTAATTATAAATAAAAAAAAATCTGAACGGGGAGTAAAAATCCACAACACAAAACTCCACTGTAACCCATTTCAATCTCACATATAGCTCAGAACAACCAAAATCATAACTAACACCATAAACTGAAGCCGCGTCGCCATAAAACTCACGACTTCTAAGTTCTAACTAGAGGAAACTTGTAGAGCAAATTGTGGAGCCAAAAATATTCAAGAAAATTTTGGAGGCGGCACATAGACTTTTAGGTTAAAATGACAAAATTACTCTCAAGGCACACCGGGATTCACACACTCATGCACACGGACAATGACGGCTTAATCAAGGAAGAGTCAAAGGTGATCAAAATTGTATTTATTCAAATCCCTCTCATCATTTCTCATCAAATCCTCACTAAAAAAGTAACTCTCAATTTTCCTATTTAATTTAGGATTAATTACCAAATTAATTACAAGATATTATAATACCACTATAAGTGGCTAGTCTCTATTCTCCAAATAGGATCAACCACACCCCTATATATAGCCTCATTCTCACACCAAAATGCTAAGTTCATTCTCTCCCAAAAATTCCCAAACACATTCTCTCTCAAATTCTAACTTTGGCATTGGAGATTCTTCGGCCAAACCCCCCATTAATCGTGGGTGCGTGAGGTGCTTGGCCTTGATCTTAGATGTTATTATTTTGCAGGTGCATTGTCGTTAAATAAGAAGACGGTGGAAATTTGTATCCACAAATTGGTGCTTTCATTGAGAGTCTTGATTCACACACTTGAAGAAGACTTTCGCATTCAAAGTTTCTCGTTTCTCGTTTGTTCATGAATTTTTCATACTTTCTTATTCCTAGAATTTTTTTAATTCTTTGAAAAAAGGTGAGGAAAAAATACAGTGACGAGAAATTCGGAAACCACGACGAACAGAACTTCTTACGTTCAAAGATCCGGATCAAATGATGGAGAATGAGATGTAGCCCCACCACGACGATCCATGAGGCTCAATACGATGGCAAGATGAGCAACTTTGTCACCAAGGAGCACCACCACCATGGCAGCCATATGCGCCACCGTGGAAGTGGAGAGTGGGCCGGCTTCATGGCAGCAAGCCCATAGTGAACAGGGAGCAGCGAGGTAGCAAATAGCCTAGGCCTACGCCACTTTGCAATAGCAAGCCCAGGCGCTAGAAGCAGCGCAAGCCGCTGCCTGAGTAGCGCAGGCCCAAGTCTTGTCCACTTGGCGCACGACTCAATCTGTAGCCCATGCTGCAAGGCAGCTGAGCCAAGCCCAGCGCAAGTCGGCCCAAGTCACTACCTCAACAGCACAAGCCCAAGCAACTGCAATAAGAGAAGCAGCCCAACGCTCGGGGGCTCAAGGCCAGCGCGAGCCCAACACGCTCCAAAGCCAAGCCCAAGAGTTGCATGCCCAAGCCTCGCCGAGGAGAACCTAGCGCCCATGCGCTCCAGCGGCCCAGCCTGTGTTTGCCACTTGACCCGCTCATGTGGTTCAACCCGAGGTTCGGCCTACTTCCGTGGCCTTCCAAGCAATCCAAACCGATCCAAGATCAATTTAACCGTCCCAGCTTCAGATTTCTGGACCGATGATTGAACCTGGGTATTTTCACTTTATTTTTTCGCAGATTTGATATATCCCAACTTAAATCTCACGCCCATAGTCCATTACATTTCCATTACACAAGGAGACGCATACCGTCCAAGCCATTCCAACCCAAATGACGAACAACACTTATCTTGACAAGTCATAGAGTTGACAATCGCCTTCGCACAGCAGACGACCTTAGTGAATCAACTCTTGTAGGGAACCGAGATGCAGCGTGCCCTAAACGAGGTGTCCCGAAGTAGGACAAGGGTAGCTGACAAATCTCTCCAACAGCATCCCAGTAAGCAGCCCCTTGACCAGCCATGAACCGATCGTTCGGGTAGTGTACACTCACGATTAAGCCTTCGAGATAGCGTATACTTCTGTCTTAGTGCGTGAATGAGTGTGCACTCTCGGTTAGGCCCACGGACGAGGATACATTTACGGTTGGGGCCACACTCCGATAATCAACATGAGCAACCTTCTAAGCGAAGTGTTCATTCGCGGCTAGGCTCACAAAGAGAATCCTCCACCTCACATTGAAGTAGATAGCACGATGAAGGGAGATAAACAGTCACACAATCCGGCTCAAGTTCAAGCAACAGCCTACGAGTAATTCGCTCCCCTGCAATGAACGTACCACATGCACAGCAGCTGCCGCATAGACGAGTCGAACACATGGAAGAACAACCTAGACCAGTAGGTCATGACTAGAGGGCAGCTAAGAGCTCCACTACTCCTAACAAAGGCATATTCAGGAAGAAGTAGAGAGGCTCATGATCGAGAGATTGTGCGATTTCCAACGAAACGAGATCATTGATGAGGCACTACGACGGGACATGACCAACATAAGAAGCTCACCCTTCACAGACGAGATCGAGTAGGCAGAGCATTCACACAAGTTCAGCATGCCACATTTCACATCTTTCAAAGGAAATGGAAACCCGAAAAGTCACCTAAAGCACTACCATAGCGCAATGATCCTTTATCGGAATGATGCTCTCATGTGCAAAATATTCACCCCTACTTTACAAGGCGAGGCGTAAGATTGGTACCACACTCTGCCACCACAATCCATCAGGAGTTTTAATTAGCTTTCTTTGGTTTTCACCAAGGAGTATTCATTCTATCGCTGGATTAAGAAGAAATTCGACCATTTGTTTAACATGAAGAAGAACCTAAAAAAGTCGCTCAGTGACTATGTGAAGATGTTCAAAGCAGAGAAGGCAAAGATAGTCGGATGCAATGACTTGATAGCTAGTACAGCCTTCCAAAAAGGACTCACAACAGACCACCCGTTGTTCGGGGAATTGAAAAAAAAAAAGATCTAACTCTGGCATACTCTTTCGCTCTAGCAAAAAAGCATGCACTTTGGGGTGAGGCTCGCCGATGCACATTAAAGGTAAATTTGTGTGATCTTGAATATGAAGTCCCCCATTACTCTGAAGGAGATTCAAGGTTTGATCAGACGAGTAGCCGTACTCAACCGTTTACCATTGCGGTCCACCGATCAACGTAAGCCATTTTTCAACTCAATCGAAAAAGAGTAACAAGACGAATAGAACGACAAGTGTGAGAAAACATTCAAAGACCTAAAGAAGTACCTGACATCACATCCCTACTATCCAAACCATAAGCAGTAGAGGACTTATTTATATGTTTGACGGTATCTGAAGCAGCAATAAGCTTTACCCCTCATACTAGAAGAGCTAGGGGCTCGACTACCTATATTCTATAGTTCAAAAGCTCTTCTCGATGTGGAAACCAGCTACCAGAAATTCAAAAGCTAACTTTGGTGACAGTTGTTGCAACTCAGAAGCTCAAGTTATACCTTCAAACTTAAGCAGTCATCCTCATGATGCATTATTCCGCTTAATCCAGACGCGGGACGATAAAGGCGCAAACACTAGCGGATGCAAAGTTTTCTGACGAACGTAACAACTTAGCCCAAAAGGCATGCCAAGGGCAGACAAACACTAGAAGGGCATACTTGGAAGCAAATTTTATCGTCGTCGCCCTAAAAGATTCTACATATGAGCAACATGTACCGGCATTTGAGCACCACTTCTTGCTGCGCGTCACATGGCCCCAGCCGGCCCTTGCTCCATAATTTAGCTCTAGAGTGGCCCAGTACCGACAGTTAAGCATCTCCTGCTACATGTAACATGGCCCAAGCCTCACGGCTCTCTACCACGCCTTTACGCTTAGCCTAGGCGACACAACAGAGTGACCAAACGACGACTCGAAGGCAATCGAGCATGCCCTAGCCACGTCTGCTTCACCCAATGGAGACTTCTAGCATTTGTACATCAACGACGCATCCAACTACAAGGGCTCATGAGCAGGCATGGTCCTTGTCACCTTAGACGATTCGATGCTCGAGCTAGCAATCATTCTAGGCTTGAAAGCATCCAACAACGAAGTAGAGTACGAAACCCTACTAACAGGCCTCCAAATGGCAAAAAACTTGGCGATAAAAAAACTTGCAATTCATTCTGATTCCTAGCTAATCACCAGCCAATACTACTTGGGAGTACACGGTAAAACATCTAATGGTGTAGTACCGAGAGAATGTACGAAAACAACTTGAGGCGTTTCAGACTTACACTTTCACTCAAGTTCTGCAAGCAAACAACACCCACGCAGATGTGCTAGCTGGTCTAGGCTTCGTCCTCGACCACCAACTCAAATGCTCTATTTTGGTGGTGTATCTAGACAAACCAAGTATAGAGACGGA